GTAGATATGTCTATTTAAACTGTTCATGGGGTTCTAATTAATATAGACTTTTTAATAATCTACATTACTGCAAATGTCATTTTATATTAAAATTTTATTCTTTTTTTTGCAATTAAATACCACCAAATTTATTAAACCCCGTTTTCTCTATAAATAACCCTACTCCTGGTATTTCGCCTGGAAAAATTCACGGAAAATAATAATGTAAATGCAGCTAACTATACTTATATTAAACACGATTATTTAGCTTGAGTAAATAGCATCTTATTGCTAGTTTGCAAGAAAAAAGTCCAATTTTGCCAACAATTAAGTCCATAAATTTTGTCGGGCTTGGGGCTGTAACGATTATTATTCTTTTCGAGGAAAAGAAGCTTAGGAGCCGTTCTTATAAACTTAAAAAAATAATTTTTGAGAATCTGAGGCGATATCTCGTGCCAAAAACTGTTATTGCTAAGATAAAACTTTGCCTTTTTTAAAAGGAAACATTGTGGGTGCGTTTTTGGTTGAAGTGATTCATTTTTAATTAATTACTACATGCAAAACAAACGTATTGCGAAGATAATATAGAGAAACAAGGATAGAGAAGATGATTATGGAGAGAAATATCTCGTATATGCAATATTTCTATGAATTTTCTGAAAGTTTTAGATTAATAGTCCAGTCGAAATACTAAATCCCGTGAGTTTTTTAGGGTTTTTTATGATTCTGAGTAATTTTTAAAGTGTTAACGTTGAAATTAAGCATGGAAGTCACTTCGAAAATTTGCGTATTTGGTCGCTACATTGAATTATAGAAGCAGAAAAAAAAATAAAGGTGTAAATAAAAATAAGATGTTTCCTCTACAGATAGAGCTAGTGGAGCTCTATATTCACCCCATTTAAACTGTGTTTCGAAAATGTATAATTTCAGAGATATTTAATTTTAAAGGTTTCGATTGTCGATTTTCTGGATATACCCCTTTGAAAATCGAATTTGTTTTTTATTAAGTTTTTCCAAATCAAACCTGTTACGGTTAGAAGACGTTAATATAAGAATCCTAAATGCAATTTGACCCTTTTTTTAGGTTATGATGTATTTAAAAAAAATTGCCGAAAATTAAAAAATCTGTTTTTATTTTTTTTCTCACCCTGTATGTACTTTTTGATAAACTGTGTATGCTCAAAAATTTAACCAATCAATCTGCGTCGAGCCACGCCCATATCTGCAGATGATACTAAACTAATATCTACAAATTGAGTGTTTATACAGGGTGTGAAATAAGTGCAAGTATTTTAAGGGGTGGTAGATCTGGATAGAAGAAACATATTTTTTTCATCGTTTTTCAGATAAGTCCAAAATAACGGAGTTATTTTATTTTGAAAATTTCCAAAAAAAATATGATTTTTTGCTCAAATTTTGAGAACCACTGGATCTTTTCTGGATTTCTTTATTTATATTTCTATGTTGCCATATTATCAAAAAATTATGTTTTTTAACTGAAAACTAAAAAAAAATTCTAAAAAATTTTTCAAAAAATTTCGAATTTTCAATTTTAATATCTACAACACATTTTAAAAATGCTTGCTCCAAATATTAAAAAACTAAATTTTGTATGTGTATTAGACAAAAGTAAAAAGTTGTAGCTTTTTACTTTTGTCTAATACATATACAATTTTTTTTACTTTTTTCTTTTATTATTGCAACACCAATATCTGATCAATAAATAATCTTCAGTAAATATTTATATAGTATTATGTAAAAACTATGATACCCTTGGAGCAATGAAGTCTTAATTTTTTTATTGTAATTTCACAAATTGAAAATATTTAAAAAACGGTAAGATTTAAGCATGATAAAACTTAACCAAATTTGCCTTTATTTCAATCGTAGAGTCTAAAAATAGAATAATATACAGGGTGTTCCATTTAAAAAAAAAACAACTAAAATATTTTTTACTTATTTATTACATTCTGTATCTTGTAAAATTATTTTTAAATTGTAGCTCTAATAGTCCTTCAACGAACCCCAAACTTATAATTTGTATAAATCTAATCTTTTAGCTACAATACTCCATGTCATAAGTGATGAACAGTCCTGTGCAGGGTGGGTCAAATTCGACGCTTTTAAATGGAAACACCCTTTTCTATAGGAGATAGACAAAAACTAATATCGGTGTCTGGAGCTCAATTTTTGTCAAAAACATGATGGTGAAAACCGCATGTCGATATCTGTTACCGTTTCGGAGTTACGGGGTGTTTTTCAAAAATATGCATTTTTAACAAATCGCTGTAACTTTTTTCCTATGGAAAATTTTGTATTTCTATAAAAACATTTCCAAAGCACCTTTTTACGTAGAATTTAATGGTTTAAGTATATTTTTTTTTAAATTAATAATTAAGAATTATCAACAGAAAATTTGATTTTTAATATGGGACACCCTGTATATTTGTAATTTATTGAAAAGAATTTAAAATTACCTTTCCAAAAATATAACACACTTGATATTTTGCTCGATTTCTCTTCGAGATATAGAGTATATAAAAATTCGCCGGCTTTAAATAAGTAGGCTTTGAAGGGCAGCGGCTGTAATGCAAAAAAAAATTCTAGCTGTGAGCATCAATTAAAACAAAAATAATATTAGCTATGAGAGATGCAGAATTTTATAACAATTTAAAATATATTTAACCAACATCAACACATTTAAACTATATCTAATAACAATAAAAATAAATAGCAAACCAAAGCATGAGATTTTGCTACAGGTGTTCGACATATCGACTGTCTTCTGTTATGAACAGACGGGGCAGTTTTTGAACATTTCTCGCGAAATTCATTAACTCAGTGGGGGTGAAAGATACCCTCTCATAAGTATTTTTAATTCTTGTCTAGATTATACGGAAGAATAAGGAACCTTTATTCTTCCGCAAATATATAAATGGGATTAGATCCATGGGCATTAAGTCAGGCGGCCTTGGCGGCCAACGGCTGGGATCTTGGTTAGCTATCCAATTATTCTTGAAATTGGCTGCAAAAATTTGCTGATAACTTCAGCGATCAGAGGCGGCGCGTCGTCTTGCTGGAAAAATATGTTTCCAATAATGAGAATATGAGTTCCATTAAGGGCTTATTATCAATAAGGGATCCAAAGCCTAAAAATTCGGTATTTCGAAGGGGATTATGACAAAATATCAAGTGAGCTATATTTTTGGAAAGGTAATTTTAAATTCCTTTCAGTTAATTAAAAATATAGGGGTGTCTCATATAAAAAATCAATTTTTCTGTTGATAACCCTTAAATTATTAATTTTAAAAAATATATACTTAAACCATTAAATTCTACGTAAAAGGTGCTTCGGAAATGTTTTTTATAAAAATACAAAATTTTTCATAGCAAAAAAGTTACAGCGATTTATTAAAAATGCACATTTTTGAAAAACACCCGGTAACTCCGAAACGGTAACAGATATTGATGTGCGGTTTTCACCATCATGTTTTTGATGAAAATTGAGCTCCAGACACCGATATTAGTTTTTGTCTATCTCCTATAGAAAAGGGTGTTTCCATTTAAAAGCGTCGAATTTGACCCACCCTGTACAGGGTGGCGCCTCTCATACGCCACTAAAGCTCCAAAGAGAACGGTAATTAACTGAAAGCATTTTATAAAATTATGTAGAATTATACAGGGTGTCCCCAAAAAAATGTACACATCAAAGTTGTGTTATACCTTATATATTAATTGATTTTAGGATTCTAGGAAAAAAATAAAGGTGAGTTTTATTAAAGAAGCATATACCTAAAACCTAAGGATTTTGACATATTTCACATTTTGCGAAAATGAATAACAGCTATGTAAATTTTAGTTGACCTTGTATGGCCTGATATTTAATTACAGTAACTATGGTATGTTAAACCAAATTGAAATTTGACCCGAAAAGTTATACAGGGTGAGACAAAATTAATATGGAACATTAGTCATTTTCAAAAGCAAGTTACTCCTTTATTTTAAATGGAACACCCAGTATATTATTCCGGTGTTCAATGGGGAATTTATATATCTTCACAATATTATTAAGGTTGCTTATCTCTCAGAAAAAGATGTTCCTAGATATTTTAATTTTTATGATTTTGCGTCAGTAGATCTTTATTATTTGAAAAAATCTAGGGTAGCTGTGATATACCTTTTGTTAATTTCACAAAAATTTAAGAGTATTTGTAGAGTAATAATCAACGGTTATAAAAAGATACATTATTTACAGATTACTGAATTAAAACTAGACATAAACCTATAATTATGTGACAAAAATTAACTAGATGAAATGAAATGCTCAAAATGCTTCCTTTCCTGTTAATTGCATAAAATGATTGTCTTTTTAAAAGGATCTTTTCATTTTAAAATGCATTTGTGGAGTTCTACCTCAAACTCAGATCAAAAATCATGTAAATGAAAATATCTAGGAAAATCCTTGTTTGATGGGTAGGCAACCTTAATAGTATTTTGAAGAGACACGAATTCTCCATTGAATATCGGAATAATGCTTTCAATATTAATTTTGTCTCACCCTGTATAACTTTTTGGATCAAGTTTTAATTTGATTTAAAGTACAATAGTTAATTTAACTACATATTAGGCTATACCGGGTAAATTACAATTTAGGTAGCTTTTATAGTAATTTAAGAATTAACTCTTAATGGTTCGTTATTTCTAGAAAATGTTAAATATGTCAAAAACCTTACATTTTAGTCATATACTTCTCGTATAAAACTCAACTTTATTTTTCTCCCAGAATCCGAAAATCAATTAATATATAGCGTGTTTCATTATAAAAAACACAACTTTGATATGTAACTTTTTTGGGGGACACCCTGTAGAACACTCTATATTTTTAAAAAGTGCTGTGAATTAATATACATATGCTCACAAAATTTCATTTCAATACAAACTGTCGTTCTCCTTGGAACCTCCGCGGCGTATGTAAGGCGCCATCCGGTATACTATTTCAGCTTATTTATTCTCTTTTTCAGGACGAAATGGCTGACCAAGCCGTCGGTGAGGGGCAGTTATTGTCACATAACTCCGGAATGCGACGGCACAGGCTACGGAATCCGGACGATGGGCAAACCGGTCGTTGTGGACGGAGTGCCCCGCATCCTTCTGGCGGGGGAGGCTGTGCATCCCTCTCACTTTTCAACCACTCATGGGGCCTACGAGTCCGGTCAGCGCCAGGCTCAACTATTGAGCGAATATTTGAGGACTTCACAATGAAATAATTGAAGTTTTCGATGTGTAATTATAGTCTGTCCCACAGATAAATGAAACAAGTTTAGATTGGAAAGTGCCATTGACTATATAACCCCTACATAAGAACACTGTAAACACTAGTAGTGGGAACTATCGAATGAATACTATCAAAACATTCGATAGTTGCAATTCATTCGAATAATTCGATAGTTAGTAAGAAAACATTCGTTGAAAACTATTCGAATAAAAATTATCGAATAGATCCGTCATCTGCCTTGAACTATTGTATTCTAGTAATTCGGCAGCAAAAACCATTCATTTATAAAATTCATTCATTTATGAAATTCATTTATTCGTCAGGATCGATTATAATAAAATATTAACTGAATTTTAGTTGTCGCCCGGCGACGTAGGTTTCTTTCCGAGAAACCCGACAGGCAGTCGGTGGCAATGCTATGAAAGAAGCCGGCATCTTTGATTTTTTGCGGAGTCAGATGTAGATAAGGACACATTATTTTTTTTATTGAGGTGCTAGTATTTACACAGAAAATACATTATGAAGGGCGCTGTTGCCATATTTTGGTATTAGTTGATATTAGCAAAGAATATTATTGTTTGGCTTTAGTTAGTTAGGGATAGTATGTCTATATATTCTGCATTTTTTTATTAATATTCTGTTGTTACACTGCAATAATACTTGTTATTTTGGATGTAGGAAAATAAGTTTTAATATTTTTAAGCAAAGACTGGTTTAATAAATAATAATAACAGTAATAATTTGTTATACCTATTAACAACAAAATTTAAAATCATTTAATATAAATATTTTTTTTTAAGTAGTAGCAAAATATAAACAACAAATTAGATGTCAAAATTATTTATATTAGATCCTATTTAAAAATAATATAGTCTCTAAATTTTTTTGTGTGTGGCAACGTTGGTTTATTAAATAATAATAATTACAGAACTAATTTGTTATATTAACAACAAATTTTAAAATCATGAAATATAAACATTTATTAATTTTCTAAGCATGCAGTGTAATGAAAGGAAAATGTAAATAAAAAATTAGAAATCAAAATTATTTATATTAGGTGCTTTATATTACTATTTAAAAATTATTTTACTTTTACTGGCATTTACTTTAAAAAATAAATGAAATATTTCTTCGCAAAAAACTACATATAAGAGAATTAGCATAAACAAAATACAAACATCGTTAACTTTTTTTTTAATTGGCATGTGTAAAACTTTCATTTTAATTTTCTCACCCCATAGTTTGAGTTCGATAACCATTTACTTAACCACATTACTTAAATATGATTATTAAGTTCAACTAATACATATTATTGAAACATCTAAAATACAAATATGTATTTTTAAAATTAATTGTAAGTTCATCTCATCTCTCTTAAAAATTGCTACTTCTCAAAATTTCCCATTAAAAAATAGACCATATACCAAAATTAAATAATTGAAAGATCGGACTACGAAAAACCACACAAATTTTCGGAAAAATTTTGACCACCTGCACATGTACACAATCGTCAATAAATGAAATTAAAAAATAACTACTATTTTAATAAACGCAAAAATAGCACAGTATTTATACGGCGAAGTTATAAAAATTTGGAAGAACTAATAATGCACTGACGCATACAAAAATCAAACGAATACTAAATTTCATTTGTCAAAAGCATTCGATAGTCGTGGCTCAACGATAACCATTTAGTCCCACGGCGAGGTTGTCACATATGCTTTAGTATACAAATGAATGAATGATTTTATTCGAATAAAACCATTTGATAGTTGAAATCATTCATTCATTAACCATTCGATAGTCTAGTTCATTCGATAGTTCCCATCGCTAGTAAACACTATTTGGCGCTATTCTTGCAACGATCGCAACCCAAAGCTTTTGATAATTTCAAATCGGTTCGGCTTTTTCCGGAATTATGTCGCCAAGTATTGTTTATTCAAATTTATTATTATTTTCTTTTCATTTTATAAATAAAATACAGTGTGTTGCATAAAAAAACTTTGTTTTATATAAGGACATGTATGTGAAATACCTATAAAACATTGGAAACCGACGTTATGCCACGATCCACGATGGTTTTTGCAGTTCACAGTTCACAACACAGTTTTTTAGTTTTTAATGCTACTTTTTCACAATTATCACGGGTTTGAGTAAATTAAACTCACAAGATAACAATAATTATTTTAAGACTGGACGCTTTAAACACTTTTCGGTATTTTTTCAATGAGGGCGGTTTAAATTTTGAAAGATTTTATAATTTTTGAAAATTCTGACTTTGACAAGAGAAAATTATTTCTGTTATTGTTTGGCGATTGTTCTTAGTAGATCGCGTACAATGGTCGCGACCCAAAACAATTACATATTTTGACGGGCTTTCCAATCTAAATTTATTTCAAATTTATTTCTTTTATCTATGATTGAAATTTTTGATGTGTAATTATGTCTGTCCAACGACAAAATTTCTGACAGTGATAGATGTGTCTGTCATTTTAATTTCACAGAAGTTTATTTCATTTTACAGAGAAATAAGTTGGTATTATTGGAATGCAAAGCGGGAAATTAATCTAATTAAAATTTTAATTTCAAATTTCTTTCTTATGGAGTTATTTTATTTAGAAAATATACAGGTTGGTCCGAACTGTATTCAGGAAACTTCGGCAGAATATTCTGCAGATAAAATTAAGTAAAAAAGTGTCTATAAATATATGTCCTAAAATACTTAGTTTCGGAGATACAGGGTGTAGAAGTTTCATTTTAGTTTCTGAAGTAACGTCAATATTTGGATGAAAATTGGTGTCTGGAAGTTAAAATGGCTTTAAATTTTATTTTGATGTCAATATGGCTCCTATATGTAGGGGGCGCCATCTACATGGTGTTTTAAGTGTTTTGAAGAGTAATAACTTTTCGTTCGTACCTGTATAAAACTACTGAGTGAAAAAATATACATTTCCGTGAATAAAAAATGTCTCTTGGTAAAAATCGCTATGAGCAACCGTTTTCAAGATATTTCGAATGGAAATAGTCAATACATGTCATTATTAACAAAAAATCAACACGTTCAGTAGATAGTCATTTGACTGAAATAATAAATTTGTGAAATTTTTATTTTTTTAAATTAATCATAAATTTTTCTGCGGGAAAATGATAAAACAGTTTCTGTTTCTGAACTTTTAACACAAAAACATTTAAAATTTATGATTTCAGTTTCAATAACTATTTAGTAAACATGTTTTATTTATGTCAATGATGACAGGTATGGATAATTTCGATTCCAAATATCTCGAGGACCATTACTCGTGGCGATTTTTACCAAGAGATTTTTTTACGTAAAAAATAACTAATAAAGTATATGTATAAATCGTAAATGTATATTTTTTTACTCACCAGTTTTATACAGGTACGGACGAAAAGTTATTACCCTTCAAACTAGTTAAAAATATGTAGGTGGCGCCCAAGGACTATACACACAGAGGATAGCCGAGTTCCCACGAAATTTTTGCCGAAGCGTTACAAAGCGTTGACGTCACCATCAGTGCGCTTTCAAACGACGCCCATTTGAAATGTAGGGCAATATGAAGGATTTTTTAATCTAAGCAAATACATGGCCTTTTTTAAATTCTAACGGTGCAAGGCATTAGAATAAGGCACTAATACCTCCTTTAAACTATAAACCAAAAGTGTTTGGATGTTTAAAATTAATGGTTAACAATACATAAAAATCTGCTTAATAGTAGAGTGTAGCTGTAATGATAAGAGATATCAATTTAGTTATAATTATTTATATTGATTTGATCTTAATATTACATATTTTTGTAAAAAATTAGATCTGTATCTGAGAATTTTGGTGTGCTAAAGTTTATAAAAATAAATAATAGGTACATATACATACATTATTAATGTCATGTACATTATATACATAATAATAATATAATTATTATTTATCTTTTCCTGAGTCCTGACTGTCATTCACTGAATAACAAATTTCCTTTTATTAGTGGGTTTTGGGTAATGATTAAAACGTGCAAACATTTTTTATTTATATATCACAAGAAATCCTAATACATAAGTTTTATTAATTAACTATTTTTTTTATCTTGCGAATTTTACTTCGGTTACTGTCCGTCATAATAATTTCTCCGCTCTTTAGCACGGGACGTATTCTCATTTGCTGTTTTCAAGGATGTCGTATTGCCAACATTTGATTCAAAGTAGGAACTGCAGTTTTCTTTAAAACTCTGCGCAAGGGTAAACCTATAATAATATATCAATTTTATTTTTAGAATTTGTTTTTCATAGAAGTAAATTTGTTATTATCTACCTAACAGTTCATTTTGTAGGTCTCTTTCATAACCATTTGGTGTAAAATGTAAGTTTGTCTTCTCGTTTACACCGATTTATCCATTGCTTTCTGATTGTGGACGAAACTAAATCCTTTGCCTTAGGAAATTAATGAAATATCAAGCTGACACTTTCTTTCTTGAGTGTTAACCTATTGCTTTTGCTTAAAGCAACATAACAAATCTGACCAGGCATAATAAATTGTAACCTAAAACCACAAATTAATACATATTACAGAACATATTTCTCCTGCGTTTTATTGTGAAACCTACCAATAAGTTTTAAAACTAATTAAAAAACGATGTACAATATTCAAATGTCAAATAAATATCACACACGCTGAGTCTAGAGATGGTCTAGAGAGAGTCCGATAATAGACGATAAACACAGACAAAATATAGTTTAAGAAACAGAAATATTGTTTGTATATGGTCTTTCGAAGGTTATTATCACATCCAAAACGTTAAAACCATGTTAAAACGCTATAAAAATTAAAAAAATTGTCACTAAACACTGAAGACTGAAGAGAAAAGTCAAAAAATTACATGTAAACACGCTAAACGCTGCCGATTCTGCACTGATGACTACGTCACGACCGTTCGACCTTGAGTGCTCGACATGCCAACGTTGTTGTTACGGGAGTAATCTATCCTCTGTGTATATAGTCCTTGGGTGGCGCCCACTACAAGTAGGAGTCATAGTGACACACGTCAAAATAAAATTTCTTATGTCAAAAAACTCCCAAACACCAATTTTCATACAAATATTGACGTCACTTCATAAATTATTTGGAAAAAATAGA